TCCTATCCTCTCTGTATTATAGGGAAAACCAAGTCATAACAAGACAGCGAAACAATTTCCTAGATAAACATGCAATGGATAAGACTTATAAAACTATAATATAAATGATCTTCCGTAGCTACTATGTTTTCTCTTGTTATTTTCAATAGATTTGTCGACAACACTGGCTTATTATAGTTAAATATACTATCACCTATTTTTATAAAAACTTATCTTTGACTGCATTGTAGTATTTGAGAGCTGTTACTGATTCATACCAGTATGGATATCCTTTACATCCTGTCATGCTCAGAGTAGTTTCCTCTACTTTTAGGGTTGATTCTAACACGCATACCGATTTCAAATAGGATCAGTCAAGGCCAACCAATAGTCTTATGATTCAAATACAATTAAGATCAGTCATAGTAAGACAATGTAAGTAATACAGGATTTCAGCTTAAGTCAATAGGAAAATAAGGATAGTTACCATGGTATAACCTGCTATTTTTGGTTCTAGAGGTCTGTGTCCTCAAATCTGATATGAGTGGACAGACCAGAACAAATTTAATTCAATCTAAATATGGCACTAGGACTACTGTGTCTTTTAAATCATTATACACCATTAGCAATGACCTCTGCTTTTTTTTAAATATAGTTTCAGAGCTGTCTCTACCAAAGACTAGCTTACCGTCTCTGCCTCATGTCTGCTACTCCACTTTTCTGCTATAATTTGTCCACCTTATTCCCTCATTCCATGGTCTGCCCCGTACACTGAGGCCTCTCTGCCACTGTAGCTGTAATCCTGATATCTCTTCCTCTCTTTCTCTGTAATGTCCTTCAGCGCTCTCTGTAGGGTTGGATTGGTGGCCACGAACTCCCACAGTTCCTCCTTGTCTTGAAAGTATCTTATTTCTTCATTAATTTTTAGAGAGAGTTTTGACGGATATATGAACTTAGGTTGCATATTTTTTTCCTTCAGGACTTGGAATATTTCTCCCCACTCCCTTCTTGACTTAAGAGTTTGTGTTGATAAGTCTGCTGTTATTTTGATAGATTTCCCATTATAGGTAACCTGCATCTTTTCTCTGGCTGCTTTTAATATTCTGTTTTTTTGGTGGATTTCTGGGATCTCGATTATTATATGCCTAGGCGTAGATCTGTTTTGGTTGTAGGTAGCTGGCATTCTGTATGCTTCTTTTATCTGGATATCATTTCTTTTTGCTATACGTGGGAAATTTTGCTTTAATATCTCTGTGAATATTTTTTGTATTTCATTTTTGGATGTTCCTGCTTCCTCACTCACATTCTTTATTCTTAGGTTATGCATCTTTTTATCATCTTCCAGTTTTAGAATTGCTTCTTTCTGGTTCCTTGTTATTTTTAAGAGGCTTTTTCTTTCATGTTCATAAGCCCTAAATCTCTCTTCAAGTTTCAGAAGGTTGTCTTTAGTTTCTGTCAAGGCATTTTGCCAATATTCAATGGAGTTTTTAGTTTCCTGATATTCTCTTTGGATCTGTTTCATGTATTCTAAGTTATGCTTAAATTCTTCTTCAGATGCTTCTCTTTCTTTTCTGATTTCCTCAGTTCTTCCATCTGTGTTCTCTTGGGCGGGGCTTGTCATTTCTTTAATTAATCTCTTTATATCTTGCCTCACTTGGATCAGGAGTACATCTTTAAATTCCTCTATGAGATCATGTAAGTACTTTTTAATTTCGGCTGATGCTGTGTCGAGCAATGGATGGTTACTGTGTTTGTTCTCTTCAGTGTTTAGTTCTCTTGGGTTTAATTTCTCCTGTTGAACAGCTGGAGATTTTTTTTTTATTTTTATCTCTTGTCATGTTTCTGGTTTCTTTCAGACTGTCCTGGAGTTCTCTGGCCCTCTCCGAATTGCTTAGGGCCTTTCAGAAGCGTGCTGGCTTGAGTTTTTGCTGTCCTCCCCAATTTGCTGTTATCTGGGGTAGGCTGGGATGCAGGGGCGGTACAGTCTAGTCTCTAGCCTCTGTGTCAGTTATTTCATAAATTAGGCTGTACTTTCTGGTTGTCACTGAGTTGTGACCATTCTGCATCCGCCCATTGGGCCCCAAGCAGAGGCCTGGTCTAGCCCCAGTAGCTCCTGCCAGTTCTCCCTGAATCAGACGCAGCTGGGTAATGGCACAGGATTCTGCCCAGGTCCCAGCCGTTCTCTTCCAAACCTCTCTGGGATAGGAGCTCTAGAAAAGCAGATCTGCCCAAAACCAAGATGGCTCCCACTAACTTCTCCGTGCAGAGCTGAAGCCAGCAAGCAATCAGACTCTGCCAGGACTCAAGATGTCTTCCACCAGCCCTCCCTACAGGGGAACCTGGTGATGTTACCAAGCTGCGGTTTCTGCCGCCAGGCTAATATGTCTGCACCAGATTCTGTGTTATTGATTTCCCAGTGGTGGCGGGCCAGCTGTTCTCTGGCCAAACCCAGCAGCCACGGGGTTTTCTGTACTCACCAGAGTCCGGTGCAAGTCCCCACTCCAGGACTGCCGCACACCAAGCCGTCCACTTTTCCCCACCTCGCGGCTCAGCGCTGACCGGTCAGATTTCTGTGCACCGTTTAGATTCGAAACGCCAGAGCTCTGTACATCTGCTCTGGTGCAGCGGTGCAGAACTGGCTGCCACCTGGAGTCTCGATCTGGGTCTCAGTTTCTGCAGTCCCCAAAAGCAACTCAGCTTTTCGTGCTGGGTCCACGAGTCTGTTCGTTGATTTAAGGGCGCGGGATTTGCAGCCTCCGGTCTCAGCACGACTTTAAATCCTCCAGCTGTACTGTCTTGGTTAATAAGAATTGCTATCGATTTGTCTGGTCCTCTCCTTAGCTTTGAGTTTGAATTCTCTGGAGAGATTCTTCACTCGATCCCCTAGCTCGCCGCCATTTTCAGACTCACATGCATGAGTCTTAGCATGTGTTTCTATTATTTCTATATTAGGGGGAGAAACAAAACAAAAGAAGGCAAAACAAAACATATTCCTATAAACACATGAAATGGAATAAATATATAAGAACATTGTACGAATCATTCTATCATAGTTCCTGTGTTGTCTCTTGTTATCTCCAATAGAATTGGCTATATCATCAGACATAGTATAATTGAATATTTCAGTACATAACAGTATTTAAAAAAAATACAATTTTGTTTATAGTATAGAACTTCAAAAACCAGCAGTTATCAAACCAGGATGTGTATTGTTGAGTCTTGTCATCTTCAGTGTAGTTGCCTATACTCTCAGACTTGATACTATCAATCATCAGTTTTGAATAAAATCTTATCTGCCTCATTTCTGTGATGCTCTTTTGTTGCCATCAGTTGTCTCCGTATCTTCTTCATTCTGTTTACTTCTCCACTCATTGAGACCTCTCTGCCACTATTCCTGGAATCCTAGCACTATTCTCTTTGTAGAATGCCCTGGAGTATTCTCTGTAGAGTTGGATTGGTGGTTGCAAATTTCCCAAGTTCTTCTTTGTCTTGGAAGCATCTTGTTTCTCCATTAATTTCTAGAGACAGTTTAGCAGGTATATCAGTCTGAGATGGAGATGATTTTCTTTCAGGGCTTTGAGTATTTTGCTCCAGGCTCTTGTTGACTTGATGGTTTTTGTTGAGAAATCTCTTGTTATTCTGATGGGCATTCCTCTGTAGGTTATCTGTTTCTTGTCTCTAACAGCTTTTAATAATCTGTTCTTATATTGAATTTCTGGGATCTTGATTAGTATATGCCTGGGTGTATCTCTGTTTTGGTTGTAGGTAGCTGGGGTTCTGTATGCTTCATAAATCAGAATATAATTTCCTTTTCCTTTGTCTGGGGAGTTGTCCTTTTCTGTGAATATCCTTTGTAGTTCCTTTGTTTGTATCCCAGCTTCATTTACATTCTTTAATCTCAAATTATAGGTCCTTTTGTCATCGTCTAGCCTTTGTATTGTTACTGCTTGTTTCCTTGTTATTTTTTTTAAAGTTTTCCCTTTCATACTCCCACATTGCAAAATTGTCCTCCAGTTTGGATAATCTATCCTTAGTTTCTTTCTAGCTGATTTGCCATCTTTCCACAGAGTTTTTAATTTCCTGGTGAACTCTTTGAATCTGCTTCATGTATTCTATATTTTTTTATATTCTTCACCAAATGGTTCTCTCCTGTGTTTGAGTTCCTCCCTTCTTCCATCTGTGTCTGCTTGAGAGGTGTTTAGTATCTGTATTATTAATCTTCTTATGTGTTGCTTTATTTGGCTAAATGTCTCAATTTTGAACTCATTTATGAGATCCCAAATGTATTTCTTTATATCTACTAGTGCTGTGTCTGATATTGCATGTTTGCTGTTCTCATTCTCCTTTGTATTTACCTGGTCTGGGTGAATGTTCTCAGGATTGGGGCCTGTGGACTTTATGTTGCTGCTTCCTCTTCCCATCTTTTTTGCTTCTTCCAGGAGGCCCCAGTCTCTTTCTTTATTGGTTACAATTCTTCTGAAGCACGCTGGTTAGATGACGCTTCACATTACAGTGTGTTAGGGAATTGCAGATAGGGACATTGTATGTTTGCCCCACCCCTTCAGAGTAGTCAAGCTTCTATGGTCTGCACTACTGTATTACTTTGCACTGCCTCTCTCCGGACCAGCAAAACCTCTGAAGCTCCACTGGGCAAGTGTGGTTAGTGTGTACCACTGCTTAACCTCGGATACTTAACTCGGATACTTAACCTTGGATAACCTACTGGGTCTCAGCTGGGTCATGTGACCCAGGCCTACCTCACTCCACCAATCCCATTTGGGAAGGGAACAACTGGCTGAAGTCACTGCTGCCCCTTGTAAGTCTCAGTTCTGCTCTATCCCAGAATGTCATCTGCTGGGGCCCCCTATTTATGGAATAGCTCCACTCCCGTCACTCACCACAGGTCAATGTAGGCTTGCCACCAACTCAGCTCTCCATTTGGCTTGCTGATCTGCGAACTCAATGTAACTGCATCTCCAGTGAGTCAAAGCTGTGGGATGTTGGACGGCTCAGCGACTCACAGCAAGACCTTGGGTAGTTGCAGTGGGACCCCGATCAGTCATGACAGGACCCAGGCAAGTCATGATGTAACCCTGGTCAGTCCCAATGGGACCCTGTACAGTTGCAGTGGGACCCCAGCCAATCATGGCTGGGCCTTGGCAAATTGTGGTGGGAACTCGGCCAGTTGCAGTGGGACCACTTGGCAAGTCACAGCATGACCCCAGCAAGTCACAGCATCAGCCAGTCGGGGCGGTTCCTCTTATGGTTGCCAAGTCACATTATTTTCTTCTTGGAATGAGAGAATTCATCTCCGTCAGTCTGGGGCTCCCCACTATGGATTATGTGAATTCTATGTTGACTATCTCAGGGAGCTTCTGTAGCCAGTTGTTATCTACCTGCCATCTTTGCTCCTCCTTCCCAGAGTAACAAAAAGAGGTTATCCAGAAAATGTTTAACTAGCATTGATGGCAGATACAGTAGTCTGAAGCAAGACAAGAGGGTCTGCCGAGTATGGAGACAAGGCATTGCTACACGCTGTCTAAATGTAAACCAAAAAGGAGAAGTGAGGCCCTAAGAAACTTACCCACCTTATGCTTGTAGAAGTTTAGCAAAATTTTTCAGAGCCATTTAGGTTCAAGACCAATTCTACATGGAAAAAGGGAAGCCTATATTTAAATTTCCATGAGTTCAGAAAGGTCTATAATGCTATCATAATTATTTTTGGGAACTTAGATTATGAATCCTAGATTTTTCTTCACATCAAAAAAATCAATAAAAGACCTGAGAGACTTGTAAATTATTTGTCAATATAAAATGAATGCCTCTGTGTGAATACTTTATTGCTAATTCAGGTACACAGAAGCCAGATAGCATTGGCTCCAAAGGCTCAGGTTCAGGTGACAGGCAGCATCATGCAGATTCCTAACACACTTAATTGTTGCTCATACAACACAGAATATAATGGCTTAATATCCATAGAGAATCTATCAACAGTCTTCAAAACCAAGCCATTGATATACCTGGCCTTCTCCTCATGAGAAAAGTAACATGTACCATTAGGTAACTAAAGAACTTTGTCATGTCTAAAATGTCACATCTTATCCTTTCCTATCAGTTGTAGTCAGGGTTTGCAAGGAAAGAGTTTTAATATGGAACTTATAATTGATAAGATTATTTTAGAGTATTCATTCCCCCAAAAGTCAGATTTAGAGAGGTTTAGATCTGTTCACATACTAGAGAGTTAAAGAATCAAGCTGAGTGCTTGGATCCTATGGCAATATCCTGCATAAGTCCTGCTGAAAACCTAGAGCCCATGGCAAGGACCACCACAAGTTTACCTGGAGACTTGGAGGCACTCCCAATGTCCCATGCAAGTCTCTATCAAGGCTGTGTACTAGGAAGAGCCAAAGTTCAGTGTTGGAAAGTAGAAAGTCCATGCCATTGAGGGCTAGGATCTGTGCCAACAGGCTGAGTGATTAGTACTGGAGCCAAGACCTGAAGCTCAAGATAAGGGCCAGAGATCCACAAAAGAGAACAAAAGCCATGCAAGCTATAATGAGGTACTGAACTTCTCCTCTGATGATGATGGCTGACATCTTATCTGGAAAACCAGTGCTACCAGCTTTTCCATGAGATTCAACAGCCTAGCACCTGCTCCTCCAGTTCTCCTTTGATGCTGTTTGAAACATTCCTTCAATTGATGCTCTATACCCAAATCCATGATGACTCAGTTCACTGCATGAACAATTCACTTTGTGATTGATTACTAAGTGGGCCACAAGACCAAAGCAATTCTTTAGATACTTAAAATCCAAAATGGACTTTATAGGGCCTGGGTATTTATCTCAGTGGCATAAGCATCTGCTTGGCAAGTGCATGGTCATAAGTTTGATCCTTTGTACAAAAACAAAGGACTTTGTATCACTCCATATCTTAAAGTAGTCATCTGGTCTGCCTCACATAAACAACAGCAAGAAGACCTGAGTCTCATTCTATTGAAATAATCAGGAACACAAACTTTGACAAAGTAAGTCTTCATTTCTGTCATGACAAACCTCTCACTGGAACTATGTGGTCTGATTCCTGTCTGTATGTGCTACTTAACTGTGGGCATTTGCATGAAACTGTAGTCAGAGTTATTGACCCTCTGATTATACAAGGAAAGTTTAAAATTCTTATCTAAAAAAGAAGAAAAAACCAGTTACATACATGTGTACACATATGTTTCACTGCAGAACACTGACAGAACTGAAAAGAGAGAGAATGTCAGGAGGTTTGTGGTATGCACATCAGCACTTCAATAAGGCCAAAGTGGTAATAGATGCTGGGCTAAAAAGTGGAAATATTTTAACAAGCAAAACAGTTGAAATAAAAATATACTAAATATGCACTTAATATACCAAATCTCAACTAGGCCTGGTGGAACATATGTGTAAGCTCAGTGCTTGAGAGGCTGAGGCAGGGGAATTGCTTGAGGCCAGTCTGGCTTATAAAGTGATCTCAAATCTAACCTGAACTTCATAGCAACCTGCTGCCTCATAAAGACAAATAGATCAAATCTAATGAACATAATACCATAACAGTGATGGCCTTATTATATTAGTACCATTATCATGCATATAGTGACCTTTAGTCTACTAGGAAAACCTAACTTAAAGCCCATTTCACCTAAAAAAATCACATCATTTACTAAATAGATTACACTGTTGGGCATTTGTTTTTCATCATTGGTATTTGGTGGCTGACAGAGCAGTGCTTGCTGCTGCTCTCCAAAGAAAAAGTGACTATTCTGCAGTAAACAGGAATATGCATGAATCACTGCAGTATATCCTTAACTCTTTGGGGAAGAGACCCACTAAAGGAAGCACTGCGCTGAGTGGACTTACTACACTTAGTCTTTGGAATACTTTGAACACTGACTTCAGTAGTGGCTGAATTACTTACTTACATTTACACCAAGAAGGTTAAATATTTCCTTTTCTCCTGCAGTCTCACGAACGATATTTTGACCTTGTGGTGATTTGTTATCGCTGCAGTGAGATGGTGTCCTTATTTGCATTTCTGTATTGTGCAAAAATGTTCAGTAATTCTTCAGGTATTTCTTGGCAATTTATGCCTATTCTGAAAAGTGTGTATTCATTTCACTTTCCCATGCATTTTACATGTTAGGTGTCAGGGAGTAACAAGCAAAATTTACCCCATTCTGTAGGTTATTTCCTCATCCTTTATTGTTTGACTTTTTTTCTGGCTTCTGTGCTTGTGCAGCAGTATTAAAATCTTATATAATCCTTTTTGTTTGTTTTGTCACTCTATCTTAGTTTCTACACAAAGCACCAGCAATATCATTAAGAAAAATAGTTTGTTTTAATGCCTCTATATTCAGAACATGGAATGCCTGGCTCATTCATGTTTCACTATGCTTTACTCTAATACAGGCATATTTGAGACTGCTGCACAAAGTACCATGATAAGTACATTTCCTGAGCAAAAAAAAAAAATCATGATTTGCAGTAGTAATTTTTTTATGCTATCCTACACTCATATTCTTGACCTCAACTTGCTTGTTTCCTTAAACTTCAAATGTAGGTATAAAAACAACTTCTACACACATTGCTACATCATCTAGTAAAGTTGCCTCCAAAGTCAGCTTCAAAGCCATGATTGTCCAATCACATCCTCTCCTGATGCTGAGACTAAAGGAATCACATTTAGCCTAGACCTTTATACATAAATCTGTACCAGGGCAACTATTTAAATACAAGATGATCAAAAATTGAATACTTTTTGTTAGTTTTTATAAAATAATAAGAAATATAAAAGTGACAATTATAATGTATTCAATACAAGAATCAACTGGTTAAAATGACAACTGCCCCAATAATGGTCAGCATAGTCAGTGCATAAAGAAACATGCTTCTCAAGTGATACTTGGGTATAACTGCTAGGTTGCCCAGTGATAAAAGGACAACTGATATGTAATTGTGAGTATTAAAATAATGTTGACACTGGGGAGAAAATGGGGGAGTACTAAAGAACTAGGCTATATCTGCAGAACATGAAGATATGTTTTGAGACAGGGTCTCAATGCAGTTGTGTAGGATGGACTCAAATTTCTCTTACACTAATTTAAGCCCGCTGAGTTGCTAGGTTTACAAGCATGCATCAACAGGATCACCAAGATTAATATTCATGGTAAAACGAGAACATGAATACACTCAGGATATATGTCTTATAGATGCCATATTAGATTACTAACTGGAATAGAAATACACACTCCATATCTGCCTTTCAATAGTAAGCAGAAATGTGCTGCAGAGAATCTGTCCACATGCTGCAGTGCATAGAGGCTGATAATGCACTTTACAGTGACTTTTACTTCGTGAAGTATATCAGATACTTCATATCTGATAAACTATAGACATAGTTTTAGTGGTGATCACACAACCGGTGAGTAATTTAAGTGTCCAAGCATAACTGAGACTAGGGCAAGCTATCTTCACTGGATTAGGTATTTAATGCAGTTTTCACTTGTATTTTCTGAAACCATAGTATCTAACAACATAATTCTATGGGAACCTAAGTAGATTTTGTATTAAACAACACTGCATGAAACAGCTTATAAATTACTTCAATGTTAAAATGGAAGTGAAAACCACACACCACAGGAAACCAACTGGGACTCATAGCCCAGTGGATGTGTTTAAAGATAGTCAATAGGCAACACACATCAAAAACATCAGACAGTGGCCCTTATGAATAGTGAGACATGCCATTGTATAAATTCACAATTCAATAAAACAAAACACAATCTGAATTATAATTTAGCAAATTTAATTTTTACTGTGCTGACAGCTAAAAATTTAGTTTTCCTTTCATGCCATTAGTTCATTGTTTTAGGGAAATCTGTAAGAATTATAAAATGTATAATTGGTTCACAGCATCAAGGTATAAAATAAAGGCATTTGCATGATACAATCAATAGTAAGTTTTTGCACCAAACTCCACAGTTAAAAAAAAAATCCTTTCAAAGTATGGTTACTCATAAATCATACCACATTTTATAGTTTCTGATACACGTTTGGAGACAAGTTATGTTTCTGTCAGTGTGGGGCAATAAGAAACTCACAGTGGTATGGTTTTCTTTGGC